TCAATTTACTATGAATAATCTATATATTAATACGTGAAGCAAAAACTTTGTATCCCTTTTTACGAAAATTGCGCGGACGGAGGAGTATGAAATTTTCCACACTTATATAGAATATAGAGAAGAAGTGCACAACGCTAATACTTTTTTAAAATAATGCATAAAAGATACATTAAATCAATAAAGAAAACATTACACACACTACAACCATTTATTTGACGCACACACGCATGCATACTATTTATTGTCAAACTTTTGTTCTTATCGTCTGTTGTCAAATTGAGAATAGATTAAATACGGTTTGTCTTTGTTAATATTTTTTATAGTGTAGTCTTGGCAAAATTTGTGATTATAGAAGTAATAAATACAATCATAATAGTGTACAAACTTAAAATTCCAATTAATTATAGTGGAATATCGACTACTGCGGGACCTCTAGTAGTATGTAATTATATATTTCAAATTCAGACATTTGGTTTTTGATTAGTGTTTTGTTTTCAATACATTTGTATCTTTTTCATCAATATGGACGCGATAAAAATTGGTAAACTTTATTATGGAATACGAGCTCCGTCGCGGTAGAAATGAGATACAAACGGCTCATAGCACTAATGACGTGCAGTGAATACTACAAACGAAAGCACGACTCGAAAAACACGAAATGTTATTGGTTTGAACGCGTCCGACATGGAAATTTCGATCTAAAAATGAACACGTGGTCGCTCGAAAACTAAACGCAACGACTGCGGAAATAGGTAAGACAGTGGTAACCATCCAAAATGGCCCATAATATGCTCTATCATTAGTAAATTCCGAATTTAGCGAATGCAATGCGTTGATATAATATCCCGAGAAGCCTATTCTCAGGTGAATCTCTTGGTGGCCTTTTACGATACGCATTTAGACGGGACTTAGATTTAGACGGGAAGACATACATAGCCAGCGAGCTTAGTGCGAGTGTTTTAATGTTCTCGATAGCGTAAAAGTTAACTCAAAATTTTATGCAGTTGTAACAGCGCCCCTAGCCACAAACGTAGGCAAACGTTCCAACTCCAAACAATGTCATTATTTCTAAATATTTATTTATTCCGTATCTAATACGCTATTCAAATTAAAACGTTATTCTGTTGCGGCACAATAGATTTCACTTAGCGAGAGATTTTTTTGAGGCAATAAAATTTTACAGAATCTACAGTCAACGCGAGAATTGAATGATTTATATAATGACTTTAATACCACGTTAAGATCGATAAAAGTAAATATAAAGTAAGACTGTTCCGGATGGGTCAGCTAGCTCAAAGCTAAGAGCAATGTCATTACCAACTTGTGGACTTCATTCAAGAACCCAATTTCGTCTGTGGTTAAGAGGCTACATAGATTTAAAGGCCGCGAAGTAGGCGCGCAGCCACATATTTCAGCGTTTAGGAAAAGGGCTTCCTTGAAGACTATCGAGCGATGTACCTACATGTCTAAAGGTACTCACCATCGCTCATAGATGTCAGCATAGGGGTTATGTAGGTTACCGGAGCCCATCCAGCATTGTGATGTCTACACATGGACATATATATCAGCTGTAAATACGAGTATATGCCAATGATGTTACAAATTTTGAGGTCGATGTTTCTATTGTATTGTAATAGCGGCTGGCTTAACCTCAAAGCCGTATCACGACTTTTTTTAGGTAAATCAATCGGTACGTACGGTAAATCCTCTATGTGTTAAGCTTCTTACGCCGGTTTTGAGGAGAGAAGCGTGTTTTCGCATTAGAATACAATTCCTTATTCCTGCTGCTTGAAAAAAAAATGATTTAGGCACATTTATTGTAAAACTGTACACTAAACATTTTTATAAGCTGCTAGGTTTAAGCACAATATCGACTTATGTACTACTTACGTGTACTTAAAAAAATTAATGTAATTCATAACATAGGGGGCATCGTCCGATGTATGACGTGCGTTCTGGTTTATTTACGTTTCGATTTGACTGGTTACCGTCAAACAAGACATTAGTAGCAGCTTGTGGTACTTAGGCGTGATATATTGCACGATGCGAAACGCATATCGGGAGCATTAAGGCATTTATCGACTGCACTCCCGCTGCAACAATGGAAATTGTAGGTTTCCGCAACCTTTTACACCGTAAGCTTTTTTTACGGCAAGGTAATTAGCGTCTATGTTTTTTTTTAACGTATGAAAGTAGGTTCGTTAAGTATACAGGGTGTCCCAGAAAAAAATGGATAATCCTGAAACACCTCATAGTAGAGCTATTGGAGATTAAAAAAAGAAATGGTACTACCTACCCAAATTAAAAATAAAGAAAAAATACCAAATTTCATGATTCAAATTTAAGTTCAGATTAACTTTTACAAAAAAATACACTAGCTACTGATACGATTTCCTGCATATTCCTTAGTATATTCCATGTAGAATATTATAAGACTAAAAAGCCTATGGATTTCATTTATTTGTAGCTGTTGTATATTCCAGAAACGCACAGCATTATGGAAAATATGAACTTTAAAAAAAAAACGTAATTTGGGTACTAACTGATTTTTTTTATTTTTTTATTTAAGCCCCCAATAGCTCTACTATGAGGTGTTACAAGATTATTTATTCTTTCTGGGACACCCTGTATATGTATATGAGTCTTTAGTTCCCACAGTGCAGGGTATCCTATTTGGGGGCCAGATGACCACGTGGACTTGCCCCCGGCTATTCTGGTTATTATTGTGATCTTTTACCTACTCGGTGGTGCAGTGATTAGCACCCCTGACTGTTGCGCCGAGGGTCGTGGGTTCGATTCCCACATCGGGCAAACATTGTGTGATGAACAGGTTTGTTTGCTCTTTGTCTATGATTTTATTATCTATGTTTGTACATATTTATATTGTATATAAGTATGTTTGTCAATCTCTGGTACCCGTAACACCGGGAATCTTTAAATGGAGCCGGATAACCGTACGTCATTTGTTACCGGTAATTTGTTATTTATATATCATAGTATTTTATTCTCTTCATACTGGTCAGGAAAATTACCGTATTGTCATCGGTCCTTGATGCATGCCCAATTTTTCAAGTTAATTGGACGCCTTGAAATCGGTGAAAATGATGTTTTTTTTTGTTTGAAGGATTACTGGTGGCCCGGAGGCCTTTCCAGCTTCACTAGGACAGGAGGGCGAACACGAGCTCAGCCAGAAGGGTTCAAATTGACGTTCAAAGATGCCATTGTATAGAACAAACGTGCATACATACCAAGCTAATAAAAGCGAATGTTCACGATTGACTTCCACGGTGAAGGAATAACATCGTGTAATAAAAATCAAACCCGCAAAATTATAATTTGCGTAATTACTGGTGGTAGGACCTCTGGTGAGTCCGCGCGGGTGGGTACCACCGCCCTGCCTATTTCAGCCGTGAAGCAGTAATGCGTTTCGGTTTGAAGGATGGGGTAGCCGTTGTAACTAAAACATGAGACCTTAGAACTTATATCTCAAGGTGGGTGGCGCATTTACGTTGTAGATGTCTATGGGCTCCAGTAACCACTTAACACCAGGTGGGCTGTGAGCTCGTCCACTCATCTAAGCAATAAAAAAAAAAGAATAAATTGTGATTGTTTTCAGTTTTATTCGATCAGGCACGTTCCTGATTCTGGCAAGAAAATAGTTTCGAATGCAATATAAGCTTATTACCTTTTCACGTAATACCTACAATCAAAATATCTAAAATAACTTGAAACATTTATTCATTGAAAAGTTAATTTCATTTTAAAGTAGGTTAAGTTAAGATATTTTATATCGTAGCCGTTTTTGGATAATCTGAATGGTGCCAAATTTCAATAGTTACGGAACACGTAATTAGTCTCTGAAAAGAATAAGACCAGTACAGACTTCCAATAGAGTTTTAAATACCAATGACCTGGATCATGCTTTATTTCGAAAATCGAGTTTATAGTTGGGAAATTTCCTTATAAAGAACTTTATCGGAAGTGAATCGGAAAGCTTAATATAAAGCTTTCCGATTTGACGATCAAAGAGAAAATGATGTAAAATCACTTCATGATATAATATAATATGGATTGTCAGTATAATGTGGATTTCTGATGTTTCAGTATTAGGTATTCCCGATATTTTTGAAGACATGGTTGCTAGGTGCAACCTATGCAAATGTTAGACATTTTTGACAATTGAGTTTGATCATACTGAAGTTAAAGTATTAAAGAAATGGTCTTCCTGGACATATTCCATTTGATAAGCTGAATCTTTGCTTCGCGTCGAAGTACAGTAACTAGTCAAATAAAAACTATAGATGGAAATCCACTTTAAGTAGATATTATATTTAGCAATTTTTCTGAGTTTTAAAATTTCTATGACTATTTTTCGATACTCATTGATCATTTAAAAATTAAAACCTAAGTGCTTAGACTTCCTTAAATATTTACGTTTGTTTACCTGTATTTGTATCCCTTGAACCTATCCGCATAATATTCTTATTTATTCAATTTAATTACGATAATATTTTTTACTAAAAAAGATGAGTAAAAAGAAATGGCAACTCTATTAAAAATAGTGTTAGTATTCAATTACTTTAATTACAAATCCATTCATATTATACCTTTATTTTACTTCATTGAAAATTCTTATTCCCCGTACCGCGTGCCGCACTACCACCCCGCCTTCCATACCCAACTAAACGAACGGCGCGCGCCCGCTTCACTCATCCAGTCATCGAGCGGCAGTTGTGGGAGATGCTATTCGACATTTAAGCAATTTTAATGAGATAAAACGGACATGCGCGCATAACTTCTCAATTAGTGACTAAAAACAAACTATACTACTGGATTTCAGTGTCCGAACATATTCTGAGTGTAGTGTAAACATAAATATTAGGTAATATTTGTTCTTGTGCAGTGTTTATGTTCGTTACGCGGCGCCCGATCCGTCCGGCGTGCTGGAGGGACGTCGCCCTCGAGGATTCTTACTAGAGGTAAGTTGAAGACNATGCGCGCATAACTTCTCAATTAGTGACTAAAAACAAACTATACTACTGGATTTCAGTGTCCGAACATATTCTGAGTGTAGTGTAAACATAAATATTAGGTAATATTTGTTCTTGTGCAGTGTTTATGTTCGTTACGCGGCGCCCGATCCGTCCGGCGTGCTGGAGGGACGTCGCCCTCGAGGATTCTTACTAGAGGTAAGTTGAAGACCGAATATTTTTGTTGGCGTCCGTTCTATGTTACAAACTTGCCTTATCGAATGTGAATTACCTACTAGCCGCCGAAAACCGGTTCTTTACTAGAGATGATACTACAACAAGCTCACGTAGAAAATTGTAAACCATAAACCTTTGTTGTTATAAACTTTTTAAGAAGTTAATCAGCAAAAAGTATTTTCAATATTATCATTGTGGAATAATCCGATGTGTTAAAATTTCATGTTGTTTCAAATTGTGGTTACAGTGCTAGTAATCCTATAGGGAAATACTATTTAATAACAGCTGTATGTACCTATTGCATGCATCTATTAGGGTAATGGAGATTACATTGTGTACCTTCAAAAATTTTTATAAGCTAGGTATAATATTTCCCACCTCCATAGAATTGTCTACTCTATCTGTTTCCACTACGCGGCTTCAAACCTAGTCAACTGTTGTATTTCAATATTATACGTAATCTGATTCATAAAAGGACATTGTAACTTAATACATTGTAATTTAATTATAGTAAATCATAACATATATAAATATTATATTAATTACCTAAGTAGCATTTCCAATTTCATTGTTCAATGGTTGCCACTTTGTTATCAAGATTTTATTAGAAATAATGATGTACAATACAAACGACTAAAATAATGATTTATGATTGGTAGTAGTAAAATAGAATTTTTAATTAAATGGTTTACCTAAGGCTATATTTTATAATAGTTAATATTATCATAGAGTTATTGGGAAAAAAATTTGACAAAATACATACATTTCTTGTAATATGAAGTATAAATACTAATACTAAGGACAGGTAATGAAGTTGAAATTTAGTTGCTTCACTGCATTCATTTTGAGGAAATTCTCGAATATTTAGTAATGTCCTTGAGCTGTATATTAAAAAAAGTCATAAAAAATTAGGCTTTGTTAATCTTACTAAATTGTTGGATATTAGTGTATTACGAAAGACTAGAGATGAAAAGTAATCTGTTCAAGTAAGCGACTCGGGCGTAACCTAGTTTCGTGGGTCACGCCTGCACAGCTCACCTCACTGATCTGCTGCTCACCCGGTGAAATGCTCACTCGCTTGACCACACTATAATCCAGATTTTCTTGTCACACTCTGCAAACAGGTTGAAGTGTTTACAATTCAATGATATGCTCTAGAAAACTCTTGGCAAACTTGAACTTTATCACGAGTACTTAATCTACAAATATTAAAAGTAAAAAACCATAATGCGTATTTGTTACGGCTACATTGTACAAAACGTGTTAAAGGTATATTTAATGAGAAATAAAAAGTCTTCTTTGTCGAGCATTCGTTGTCCTAAGGATTCTTCAAGACTTCAGATTTCAAATTTACAATAGTAGTTATCAAATAAGGACATATTAATTACAGATTTTTAAAACACCAATAAAAAACTTAATTATCTACAATCAAACGAAACTTGTTCTAATAGCCAATATCCATTTCTAAAGTAATAGTGCTACGGCGCGGCGCATCCCTTTCAGTCGCTGTGAGGCGTTTTTGAGGCACTTTTATTGCTGCACCGGCTTGGTTGCATCCGCTCATAAAATTTAAGTGTTTGCTTTGGTTCGAAAACTTCCAATTCTGATTTCCTATCAACCTTTTTCAATACGAAACTTATGATTTTTAAATACCGAATATTAGCTGTTAATGAACTTGTTCTAAATTAGGTATTGAATTGAAGAGGGAACAAATTGATTTTCTCTATAAAAACGTTGGCCTAGTGCCAAGTAGGCTTTTGTGGTCGGGATGAATTTCGGATAAAGTAAAAGTATATTGTAAATTTTGTAAATGATTTGCTTGCCTGCTTTAATCACAAACCGCTTAACACAGAATAGGCCGAGAGATCCGAAGGAAAGCTTTTCATCGGAAAACCTATTGTCCAAATCGTTGGACATGATATAAAAATAAATATTGACCGTTCTAAAATTACATAAAAAAATTACACAGGTGATACTAAAAAACACAATTCATAATGTAACAAATGAATAGAAATTGTAAAACCTATTTATTATGTTTTTTATTGCTTATATGGGTGGACGAGCTCACAGCCCACCTGGTGTTAAGTGGTTACTGGAGCCCATAGACATCTACGAAGTAAATGCGCCAACCACCTTGAGATATCAGTACTAAGGTCTCAGTATAGTTACAACGGCTGCCCCGCCCTTCAAACCGAAAGGCATTACTGCTTCACGGCAAAAATAGGCAGGGTTGTGGTACCTACTCGTGCGGACTCACAAAAGGTCCAACCGCCAGTAAATTTAGAATCATTAAGTCAGTTGGAATCATCATGTTAAGTTATTAATGATTAATGTACAGATTGACCTTCTCCATTTATCGCCTTGAAAGTCGAAATTTTACATCAAACAACATATCTGAAGTCATATAAACACGACTGGTTTCTAAAGACTTGTGATGTATCTAACTTCCTGTTTTGTTGTGTCGTACATTTTTAACTCGCAGCGTGTCGTGTGTATAAAATCATAAAAAACAGTTAGTTATCTGTCAGTTTTTAAACTATAAGAGCGAACATAACTTTTAAAAATATACGCCTCCGCGGATTGAGAACCTCATCTTTCTCTTTATGCCGGTTTATTCATAGTCGAATAGCGTTAAACAAAACACGAACTTACAAACGTTTTGTGTACACTTTAAACAGAAACACGTACATTATTTGAAGCAGATATAGGCTAGATGGTGGTAGCTAACTGTGCTTACAACACGCTTACACCAACCATAGTAAAATGTAACAGATTCAACATGTAAACCATAGCCGTTAAAACTAACTCGTTTTTGTGCTTCTCATGCTAAAAATAAATTGTATATGTGTTTTCTTGTTTAAATGCCCATCCGAGCTTTGTAGCTTGTTCCTTCAAGTTATACAACGGTGTACTAACTAATAAATCGCATTGGTCGTATGCGAGTTGTTTTTATTTGATGAGATTGAGAGATTAGTATGTTAGTTGATTTCAATAAGATAAGACACAAGTTTGAGGTCTCAACTGGTCTCTTGTTTGCAAACCGATCATTCCTAATCCTATAAATCGAAAGGCATGCCTGTTTCGAGCCTGAAAGGTACTAATTAATAAATCAACTTAAGAGTAATGCTCCGAATCATTGTACCTGTAATATACCATTTAGAAGTTTTCGAAATATGAACTGACTGCAACAATGACTGCTTTAGGGTAGGATGGTATTTTTATCTATCTGTGATTTCAATGTGGTCTACAAATTTTAATATTAATTTCGGTCTTACCATGAAATTTTCTGAAATTTTAGGGTTTGGGCGAATAATTCGAACATTTAGACCATTGTGGTCTTTTGTGTTATTCCCTTGGTCTTTCCACTTCTCACCGCCGCCGGCATAAATCATTAAAAAGCGTTCGAAGAAAACAGCCTTCAGACATTTTATTCTGCATATCTATTGCGAAAGATGTTAATTATTGTCCGTTCCAGGATCTCGCACTCATAAAGTATGTGATGAATAATTTCACTTGCCCCAAATATAGAACCGGCTAGTTGTGTTAAATGCCGCCAAGTTAATTTTACGTAGGCACTCCCTAGTGCTGAAATGCCCTGTGGGGGCTTGAAGCAAATGTTTCAGCTGACTTTACAACGCTTTCCGGACTGGTATGAGTTATATTCACTAAGAAACTCTCGTTTGTGCTAACCCCGCGACACTCCGTTTCATTATGGCTTTCTTTGTGGTTCCTTATCTACATTTGTAAATCTAACTATCATAATAGAAAGAGAAAGAGAGAGAAGAGAAAGAGATCAGTAAAGTAGACTTTGACATTATATGTAGTGAACATACGTACGTAGTATGCTATCAGAAGTGTAAATAAATCAATTAATTTTTTGCCCTAGTGATGAACAAATTTTTTCTCTTCGTCTTTCTTTTTTGTATACTTATTTGTATTTATTTCTTCTATTGAAACTCTTCCAACGAATTGTTGTAAATGCTAGCAAAGTTACAAGTGTTTGTTGTAACAATTTCGAACTTTCCGCCTCCGAGACTTCAGAGATACATAAAAGTATGAGTAGTGTAAACGTGTACTCCAACTTTTTTATTTATTTTGTTTAGCAAGGAGTATTTAATGGTTCAGCTAGAATCAACGTAGAATTTTAATTAATTGTTTAATTGTTGTTATTGTATTGTTTCGTCTGTCAAAACTGTGTAAACACAATTATCACGAAACCATACACAATATTCATTAAATAAAATATTAAAAATTCTAAATGTTAATAGAGATACGCTGATGCGATTAGGAGATTCACAAAAAGAAACAATATAGGTCTAGTTATTGTTGCATTTTCATAAAACTCGCTCAATATTGAACGCGGTCGGAAACGGGGCTCAAACATTGTTGAATTATGGAATTGAAATAATTGCTAAAGCTGTTTTAATAATTGTATCTTGCCTTCATCGTCTTCATTCAGACTATTGAAAAATGCAGCAGTTTTTATGCTAAATAAATATGTAATTTTATCGGCTTTTTCATATCAAGCAAGTGCAGCAAATTAACATTCCAAAGTCACAATAAATTTGTTTCCAAGCTTATTGACTATCGCACAACATGAATTAGATAGGAGCCGGATGTCACATTATTGTTTAAGGAAATGATCGATAAACATTTTTAACTTTAAACGGATGCCGAATATTCAATTCCATAGTGCATAATTCACTTCTAAGTGGATTGACATAATTGCGCCCTTGATCCGAATGTATTTAATGCATACATATATCGAAACATTGTTTTGTATGAAAATAAAGGAATTTTATCATAATTTTTGTATTTTTTTCCCTAACCATTCCATTAAATTATCAAAATATTATTTAAATATGTAATCTGTTAGATTTGACATTGTATAATTCATAACGTCAGCATCATTCAGGTGCTTGCGGGATAGCGAAATGTTGTTCCACTTAATAATTTCGATGTTGTTTTCGCAAAAAGGTTTC